GAAAGAGAAAACAGGCCACCAGGTCCATGTGGGAGTCCAGCACCTTAATCACTGTATCACCTGCTGGTCTCTCCAATTGTTTTTATTTTTGTTTTTGGAGAGGTTTTTGCTTCTGGGTGCGTGTGCTCACCAGAGACAGAGAGAGACAGAGAGACAGAAAGCAAGAAATCATCCCTCAGAGGGGATGGCCACACCGCAATCCCTTCTCCTCCATTCTCCTCTTGGGATTTGGGCACGCATGCACACGTGCCCGGTGTGAGTTTAAGCCACTGGGTCCGGGACGTGAACCGCAGTCAACTACATGGGAATCCAGCAACAAAGCCATTACGCTAACTGCTGGTCCCTCCAATTGGGTTTTTTTTTTTTTTTAAAGGTTTTCGCTATAGGGCATGTGTGCTGGCCAGACAGACAAAGAGAGACATAGAGACAGAAAGCGAGAAATCACCCCCCCAGGGGGGATGGTCACGCCGCAATCCCTTCTCCTCCATTCTCCTCTCGGGATCTTGGGCACGCACGCACACGCGCCCGGCGTGAGTTTTAAGCCACCAGGTCCGGGATGCGAACCGCGGTCGACTACGTGGGAGTCCAGCGACATAGCCATTACGCTAACTGCTGGTTCCCAACCAATTGGTTTTTTAAAAAAATATACCAAGTATTTTTCATGATTCTTTAACACAGAGCACTTCATGTATGACTTGGTAAATGTAACCCTCTAGGTTATTCTTGCCTCTGTTTCCTGGTTTATCTCTGTCTCTCTTCCTTCCCTTCTCTCTGTCTCTCTCTTTCCTTCTTTCTGTATCTGACCCTTTCTGTGTTCCTCTCCCTCTGTTTCTCTCTCTCTCCTTTTTCTTCTTTCTCTCTCTCTTTGTTTCTTTTTGTCACTGTCTCCTCCTTTTTCCTCTCCTTTTCTTTCCCTCTCTCCTCTTTTTCTCTGTCTCTCTCTCTTTCTTCTCTCCTTTAATGTACCTTCTGAATTCTAAAACCCAATTAAATGAAGAAGTTGTTCCTCTGGGTCAGTTTCTTGTAAGTGAAGCATGTGGCTTTTGACAGGGTGTGAAAACATATGAAGGAATGTCACACTTTTTTTGTTTTTGCCATTTATTTTTCACAAATTCTAAATCACAAAATAACACTTTGAAATGAAATATTAATTAAAATACACTTTCCCTTGGCTTTCAGCAATTCTTTTCATGTCCAGAGTAAAATGTACTCATTAAAGATTTAGCGAGCAAAAGAGAAAAATCACCTGTAATCCTACCACCCACCTACAAACTGTTAATGTGTTTTCCTTCCAAATCGTTAATGCCTATTTGCTTTTTGAAAAAAAAAAAAAGTTCTAATAAAGTATTGCAAATTCTAGATCCCCTACTCTTTTCATATTGCAATGTAGTTTCAGTATTTTTTAAGTTCTTCATAAACATCAGTTTAATAGGTGTATAATGTTTAAATAAATAAACATTTTTTTGGAGAGGTTTTTGCTATAGGGCGCGTGCACTCACCAGACAGACAGAGAGAGACAGAGAGACAGAAAGTGAGAAATCACCCCCCAGGGGAGATGGCCATACCGCAATCCCTTCTCCTCCATTCTCCTCTCGGGATCTTGGGCACACACGCACACACCACGCCCGGCGTGAGTTTAAGCCACCGGGTCCGCGACGCGAACTGCAGGCGACTACGTGGGAGTCCAGCAACATAGCCACTATGCTAACTGCTGGTCCCTCTTTTCTATTCTTTTGGGTAGTTATATGCTTATTGCTAACAAAAGTAACACTAAAGTTAACATTTTGATTAAAAAATATGTTTCTTCTTCTGGATTTTGACTATGATTTTAGATGGATCACAAAAGTGGAATTCTTGAACCAAATGGTATGATTATTAAAACATATAGTTTATTAAAATATATAACTTTTTTATTAATAGACTTTTTATTTTTGTTTTAGTTATTTTTTATTGAAAGAAAGTTTTGGGGACCAGCAGAAAGCATAATGGTTATGTTGCTGGACTCCTACATGGCTGACTACAGTTCAAGTCCCAGAGGCCTGAAATTCATGCTGGGCACATGTGCATGCGTGCTCAAAATCCTGAGAGGAGAAGGGATTGTGGGGTGGCCATCCTCCCTGGAAGGTGGTTTCTCGCTTTCTGTCTCTCTGTCTCTCTCTGGTGAGTGCACACGCCCTAGAGCAAAAATCTCTCTTAAAAAAAAAAAAAGAAAGGTTTAATTTCTTAAAATATTTTTAAGTTCGATTCCACATTTAAAGTTGTATTTATTTTGAGGAGTAAGACAGTTACCTTTAACATGATCAGGAGGAGGGGGGCACACCTGGCATGTTCAAGTCAACCTGGGAGTCAAACCCAGGTGATATTCGGGTCACATGTAGGATCCAGCACCTTAACCACCACATCACCTGCTGGCCCACCGACCCCTTTTATTATTAACAATACATTAGTTATAGTTGATGAGCCAACATCATTATTAACCAAAGTGATATTCAAGTTACATGGGGATCCAGAAGGAAAGGTGGATGGGGCCAGCATGTAGTATAGTGGTTGAGGTGCTAGATTCCCACATGGCTGACCACAATTTAAGTCCCAGACTTGGTGGCTTGCTTTCTCTCTCTCTCTCTCTCTCTCTCTGGTCAAAATTGAAGACAATGATAATGAATAAAATTTAAAATATATCTTTAAAAAGAAAAATGCTGGGGACCAGCAGGTAGCATGGTGGTTGAGGCTCTGGACACTACCATATGCTGACCAAGTTTCAAGTCCCGGACCTGGTGGCTTGCTTTCTCACTTTCCCTCTCTCTCTCTCTGGTCAAATTAAAATAAATTAATGAATAAATAAAATTAAATAAATATTTTTTTTTAAAAATGGCTGCTCCCAGCTTTCTAGACACACTCCTGCCATCCTCTCTGCTTCTTTGAGCTATGTTTTGATATTTGATGGCCTGATGCCAAACTTATGCCTTTTGGTTTTCCAGACACCAGAATCATGAGTCAAATAAACCTCTATTCTTTATAACAGAAACTCAAGTATTTCTGCAAGCAACACAATAAGAGACTAAGATAGCTACTTATTGTCATTGGGAAAGTCATGACATATTTTTTATGTTTTTCTATACAAAAATGCATTGTGACTTTCCCAACAACCATACATAAACATTCATGTGCAGGTTTTTGTTTTTTCTTTAAATTTGCTATAGAGTGCATAGCTTGCCAAAGAGAAAGAAAGAGTGAGAGGGAGTGAGAAAGTACCCCCCACCCCTTGGGAGAGAAGGATGACCACACCACATTCTCTTCTCTTTCTTTCTCATCTTTGGATTTGGGGCATGCACACACATGCACCCAGTGTGTTTTTTGAAGCTTCTGGGGCCAGGACTCAAACTACTCAATCAACCATGTGGGACCCAGCTGCCTTAACCATCACATCACCTACCTGGCCCCATATGTGCAAGTTTTTTGTGGACATAAGTTGTCAGTTTATCCAAGCAAATACCAAGGAGCTCAACTGCTGGATGATATGGTAAGAATATGTTTAGTTATGTAAGAAATTGCCAAATTGTCTTCAAAGTGGCTATACCATTTTGCATTCCTGAATACCATTAATGAATAAGAGTTGGTATTCCATCTCTTGTCCAGTACGTGGTATTGTGTGTTCTGGTTACTTTAAAGGGTGTACAATAGGATCTCATTGTTTTAAACTGCAATCCCTTAATGATGTATGATGTTGAGCATCCCTTCGTATATGTATTTGACATATATTTATCTTCCACAAGACATCCAGATCTTTTTGTCCACTTTTTTATTAAAGAATTAATTAGGAACCAGCAGTTAGCGTAATGGCTATGTCGCTGGACTCCCACGTAGTCGACCGCGGTTCGTGTCCCGGACCCGGTGGCTTAAAACTCACACCGGGCGCGTGTGCGTGCGTGCCCAAGATCCCGAGAGGAGAATGGAGGAGAAGGGATTGCGGCGTGACCATCCCCCCTGGGGGGTGATTTCTCGCTTTCTGTCTCTATGTCTCTCTCTGTCTGGCGAGCGCACGCGCCCTACAGTGAAAATCTCTCAAAAAAATATATATTTATTTAATTTTATTTACTATCATTATTTTCTTTAATTTGACCAGAAAGAGAGAAAGGTAAAGTGAGAAGGCAAGTTACCAGGTCCAGGACTCAAACCATGGTCAGTCATGTGAGCGTGCAGCCCCGCAGACACCATGCTACCTGCTGGCCCCACTCTTGCCCACTTTTTGATTGCACTGTTCTTTTTTTTAATAATTGGCTTTTAAGAGATCTTTGAGTATTTTGGGTAACAGTCTTTTATCAGATATGTCTTTCACAAGTATCTTCTCCCAGACTGTGGCTTTTCTTTTCATTCTCTGGATAGTGTTTCGTGCAGAGCAGAATTTTTTTTATTTTAATAAAGTCCAACTTGTCAGTTTTTCTTTCATGGATTATGCCTTTGATGTTATATCTACAAAGTCATTGCCAAACCCAAGGTCATTTAGACTTTGTTTTATGGTATCTTCAGGAGTTCCATAGTTTTGCATTTTACAGTTAAGTCTGTGATCTATTTTTAATTTTTTTTTTAATTTTTGCTATAGAGTGCATGCACTCACTGAAGAGACAGAGAGATAGAAAGTGAGAAATCACCACCCGGGGGAGATGGCCATGCCATAATCTCTTTTCCTCCATTCTCCTCTTGGAATCTTGGGCACACACACACATGCACCCAGCATGAGTTTCAAACTGCTGTGTCTAGGGCTTGAACTGTAGTAAACTATGTGGGAGTCCAGTGATGTAACCATTACACCATCTGTTGGTCCCAAGTCTATGATTTATTTTGAGTAAATTTTATGAAGAGTAGGTCTCTGTCTAGATTTTTTTTTCCCAGAGTGGCTATCCAGTTCCAGCACTCTTTGTTGAATAGTATGATGATTTATTTCGTCCATTGTATTTCCTTTGCTCCTTTGTCAAAAATCAGTTAACTGTATTTATGTAAGTGTATTTTGGAATGCTGTTCTTCTGTTCTATTGATGTATTTGTCTATTCTTTCACCTATATTACACCATCTTGATTACCATAGCTTTACAGTAAGTCTTGAAGTCAAGTAGTACCACTCTAATAACCTTGTTCCTCCCCTTGAATATCATGTTGACTATTCTGGATATTTTTGAGTTTTTGTTGTTCTTTTTTTTAGAGAGCGAGTTTGTTTTGCTATAAGATATGTGTGCTTGCTGGAGAGACAGAGAGAGAGAAAGTGAGATATCACCCCCCACCACCACCACCACCACCAGGGGGATGCTCATGCCACATCTCCTCCATTCACCTCTCAGGATTTGAGGCATGCACACACACACACACATCCGGTGTAAGTTTCAAGCCACAAGTCCGGGACTCCACCACAGTGGGCCCTGTGAGAGTCCAGTGCCCCAACCACTACACCACCTGCTGGTCCCAGCTATCCTGGGTATTTTACCTCTCTATATAAACTTTAGAATCAGTTTGTCAATATCCACAAAATAACTACTTGGGATTTTAATTGGGATGGCACTGAATCTATAGATTCAGTTAGGAAGAACTGACATCGTGGCAGTATTGACCCTTTCTATCCATGAACGTGAAGTATCTCTCCATTCATTTAGTTCTTCTCTACATCAGAATTTTGTGGGTTTCCTCATGTAGATCTTATACATATTCTGTTAGATTCATTCCTAAGTATTTCACTTTGAGGGGTGTTAACATAAATGGTATTATGTTTTTAATTTCTAATTTTAACTTCTCACTAGTGACATATAGGAAAATGACTGACTTTTGTATATTATTCATATATGCTGTAATCTTGCTAAAATCAATGATTAGTTCTAGGAGTTTTACTCATTTTTATTATTGATTCATTCTTTTGATATTCTACATAGACAATCATGGCACCTGTGAGCAAAGACTGTTTTATTTCTTACTTTTGTACATACATATACTCACATATATGGAATATATATGTGTAAGTACACCTATATGTGTAGAGGTGTATCTATGTCTTTTGTTTCCTTTTCTTGTTTTATTGTAGTAACTATGAATTTCAATATATTGCTGAAAAGGGATGGTGAAAGGGGACATCCTTGCCTTATTCCTGATCTTATTAGGAAAGCTTCTGGTTTCTCACTGTTATGTATGATTTTAGCTGTAGGCTTTTTTGTAAATGTTATCAAGTTGACAAAGCTTCATTCTATTCCTACTTTCCTGAGAGTTTTTGTTATGAATGGGGATTGAAGTTTCTTAAGAAATTTTTTGCATCTTTTTATATGATTGTGAGATTTTTGTTTTATTGGTATGAAGGATTATGTTAATTGACTTTCAAATGTTGAACCAACCTTGCCTGCCTTTTCATACATTGTTGGATTCTATTTGCTAATACTGTGTTGAGGATTTTTGCATCCATGTTTAGGAGGAATATTGGTCTGTAGTTTTCTTTTCTTCTAATGTCTTTGCCTGATTTTAGCATTAGAGTAATGCTAGTCTCATAGAATGAGTTAGGAAGTATTCCTTTCCTTTTATCTTCTAGAAGAGAATGTAAATAATTGGTATAATTTCTTCCTTAAATGCATGGTAGAATTCACCAGTGAGGCCAGCCCCAAGGTTTAGTGGTTAAGGGAGCCAGATCCCACCTGGTCAACTATGGTTTGAATCCTAACCCCAGAGATCTAAAAAAAACACCAGTCATGTGCACTCACCAAAGAGTCAGAGAGACAAAGAAGGAGAGAAAGAAAGTACTCTTGTGAACCATGGTCATGCCACAATCCCTTTTCCTCCATTTCTCTTTCCTCTCAGGATTCTGGGTATACACTCACATGCGCCAACATGTTTTTCAAGTCACAGATTCCAGGACTTGAACTACAGTTGGCCATGTGGGATCCAGCTCCCTTAACCTCTGTGCTATGGGGCCAGTCCTGTTATGCAACTTTGGACAAGAAATTGTCCTCTCCGAGCCATGGGTTTCTTCACCTGTGACTTGAGAATAATGCCTGTCTCAGGATGGTTGCAAAGACCATAGAAGATGCAGCTACTAGTTGGACATTTCTTTCTTCCTTCTGGGTATTGTTGAAGGAGAACATCAAGCCCCCAAATCCCACCTCTCTTTCACTTCCAGAGAAGAAGATCCCAATTATGATATCTTATTCTCAGTATAAAGAAGACCTGACAGAAGATAAGAAGATCCTGTTGGCTGCCATGTGCCTTGTCACCAAAGGAGAGAAGCTCCTGGTGGAGAAGGACATTACTCTGGAGGATTTCATCATCATCAAGGTGACTGCCACCTTTAAAGTTGGGGGAGGGCATGAGAAGCTGGGAGTTTTGTATCTTTAACTTCAGCTTCAGCTCCCAAGGTGGGGAGGAGTGGCATGGACACAGAAGGATTGCATGATGGTAGCACTGTGGAGACATGGGGTAGACATGATTAACACATTATCCTCTGACCCAGCCAGGTTCATGGGTTTCCTGGGGAGTGGGAAGGAGGAGGCATGGCTCATGGGTGTTGCCCCTCCAGGTGCTGGGCCCAGCCGTGGTGGGAGTGGTAGTTGCGGTGGAAGTGACGGTGGTCAACCCTCTCTTGGAGAAAGTGAAGGACTGTGTGCTGATAGTGGAGGGAAGCGGCCTTCTTCGAGGACAACTCAGCTTAGAGTAAGTGACGGAGAGGGGCTAGCTTGCATATGGGGTGGGTCAAGGAGAAGCTGCCAGAGTCAGATGATGGTATGGGATAAATTCTAGACCCTCAGGAATCAGCCCAGTGCCTATACACTTCAGCCTGCATTCACTTATGCGTTCTTTAATTCATTTAGTCAATAATTTACTGTCGTATAATTCATCCACTCATTTATTCATATATTTCTTTTATATTTTCACTCATTTTATTCATTTATTTAATCACTTCCTCTATTATTTGCTCTCTCACTCATTCGTTCATCCACTCTTATTCACTTTCCTCATTCACTTATTCATCTACTCATCTTACTTTTGATAGGTTCATTCATCCACTCATTCATTCTTTAATTTGCTCACTCATTTATTTATTCATTCATCTCTATAGTCACTCATTTATTCACACATGTTCCATTCATTCACGAGCTCATTTACTTAGTTATTCATTTTAATCATTCACTCATTTTTTCATTCATTCACTCACCACCTGCATGGTCTTTGTATTGACTTGAACTCTGAGCCACATGTCAATTGCTAACACAAACATGAACAACTGGGGATTCCGCCTGGAAAAGGCTCTCAGAGACAGATGACCCTTCACAGAATAGTGTGACTGGTACCAACAGAGGGACAAATTTTCAAGGTCCAGGATATGGAGGCAACTTCTCTGAGTGAAGGTGGGTTGGGGCCAGGGAAAAGTCTCAGAGGAGTGATATTTGAGCTGAGCCTTAAATGATGAATCGATGCACTTTTCAGGTACCAAGAAGGAAGGAGGGCTTCCCAGTTTCTGATGTAGTCAGGAAAGGTCTCCTGGAAAAAGAGAAACTTGATTTGGCCCTTGGATGCGATTGGAATGGGAAGGGCATTCTAGGTGGGAGGAACAGTGCAGACAAAGCCCAGAGGAGAGAAGGGTAAGGTATCGCAGGGCACAGGGAGGAGACCAGCCTGATGGAATGGGAAGAGTGTGAGTGACAGAAGGGAAGATTAAGCTGAGGACTTGTGGATGAGGATTGAATGTCAAGTCACAGAGAGAACTTGATCTCAAAGCTCATGAGACCCACAGACTGGCAGGCCCGACTCAGGAAGGAACAAGGACTGATGGTCTGCATTTCTCCCATCTCATTTCCTCCAGCGTGCCCAGCCTGGAGCCTCAGGAGAGGGCCTCGGTCCAGTTTGACATCACCCCCTCCAAAAGTGGCCCAAGACAACTACAAGTAGACCTCGTCAGCTCCCACTTCCCGGACATCAAGGGCTTCGTGGTCATCCATGTGGCCACAGCCAAGTGATGGACCACAAAGAACTGAGAGGGGAGGATATGGCTCCCATCCCCCTCCTATTCACCTTCGTCCCTCCCATGTGGGAGCCAGGAGGCCTGGGTTAGTCCTGCTTCAGGTCTGCTTCAGTTTGTGAACTAGGCAAGTCCTTTCCTCTCCTGGGCCTCAGTTCCCCCACTTCGTTCCCCCAAAATGAAGTGTCCAACTAAGTAATCCTTAAACTTTGGATAAGTATGGATGGTGTAAGGACCGAGGGAGCTTCTTCTACCACCTTCATCTCATCACTTGTAGAGCTGGGAGGATGGCCGACCCAAGCATCACAAGAAGCCTGGATTCTGGGCACTGCCAGTTCCTGCCCAGTCAGTTCACTCTCCCCTAGACTGACCACTGGGCTCTCTTTGCTTCTCTCTCAGTTTTTCAAGTGTCCTGGCCACATTCAGACCCATCAATCCTCCCTCCAGGACTGACAGCCTGAGACTGTCAGAAAAGGAGGAGCCTAAACATTCCTCAACACTCCCATTACAGAAAGCGAGGAGCCTTGCCGAGACTAGAGAGCAAGCTAGAGGCAGATTTGGGGTCCATGTTTGTGCCGTTTACACCAAAGTCATGTTCCTGAAATGCATTAGATTTTAAACAGTAAGAGACTTTCCCTCAGTGAAGACATAGGTCCAGGATCTGAGGAGCTACAACTGCCTGGAGGAAGACGAAGATGATATAGGAGGAGTCATCAAGCTGGATTGCAGCCCCAGATCCGATTTTCTTACGGTAGTTAAGGATCTTCTGTAACCAGCCCAGCTGTGCCCGTGGTCTACTTCTGTCTTTGGAACCGGTACAGCACTGACTGCAAAACACCCCCCAGCAGCTTACTCTGTGCAAATTGCACAGTTTGAGTCAAAGCAAGACAGAGACCTGGAGAGGACCAGAGTAGACATCACCAGGCCCTGAGGATAACAGCCCTGGACATGGAATTCAGCTGTGAGATTTTCAAGACTGCCAGAGAAATTAGAATTGATCCTTTAAGTAATATGAGCTACAATAACAAAGCCGGCTTATCTGCAGTGAAATGCCTCCCAGATACAAATTTAAGTGAGGACAATGAATGTAGTGGGTCTTTGCAAAAAGAGGGTAAATACACAGTGTTTGATGGATAATCCCCGTGACCCCTCAGTAAAGGCATTTCTCTGTTGATTCTACAAAACAAGGGCATGGGACTCAGAGAACCAAATGAGTGTACGTGTTTAATGAGTCAGGCCCTCAGGTGGGTTATCTCGGCCCCGGGGACTCCCCTTTGCTAACGTAGGTATTTTTGTTTTGATATATATATATAGAGAGAGAGAGAGAGACACACACACACACACACACACACATATATGTATATATATACCGTTTTATTCATGATACAGCATGTATGCACGCACATGAGGGAGACAGACACATACACACACAGAGAGAGAGATGAATACTCTCCATAGGATCTGGTCATGCCATGATCCCCTTCCTCTAGTCCTCCAGCCATTTAGATGCCGGGCACTTGCACTTGCACTTGTGCTTGGCTCATTCCATATAGACTGAGCTGAGGATTTGAACCCACAGTTGCCGTGTGGGATCTGGCTTCTCCTAAACTGCGCGTCACTGCTATGCCACAGAGCCAGCTCCTGATCCTTGGTTTTGATGCTGATCCCATGGAAGTGGAGAACCGGAAGTGCAGAGCAGGCTCCTTCCAGCAGAGGGCTCTGTATGTCAGCCCTGATGGGTCTTCCTCATGGTCACTCCAGACACCTGGTTCTTCCAGCAGTGCCAACTGCCTGACTTCCTTGAGTTCAGCTGTCACAGAAGGAGTTTACCAGGCAGCTGGTTCTGAGATGGAGTATAAGATGATAAAGGGGTGACCTAGAGTTCTTTGGGGTATAAGATGATAAAGGAGTGACCTAGAGTTTGATGCTCATGGAAGGAAGGGGGAAGCAGGAGTGGGCAGGAGGAATCCAATCATGAGGCAGGCCCAGTGACCAACTCTGCAGACCCTACAGGTAGCCTTAGCACAGGAACGGCCTATCAGACTGGGTCTGTGTTTGGGCAGGGTGAAGAAGCCAAAGGCAGTGAGGCCATCTACCAGGTAGCTGTTTCCAGGACAGTGGTCTTGCCCCTCACACCTCTCAGCTGAGCCAAGGTGGCACTTTGATGAGATAAAACTGACCCCATAGGTCATCCCATCTCCAGCTGAAAGCTGTGGCCACCCTAATAGCCAACGAGAGAGCCCTGGTTAGAGGTGGATAAGGAAGAGAAATTGAGAGAAGACAGCTCGGAGGCCCAAGGGAAGGTGTGAATGGGGATGTGGTTTTGGAAACTGAGAAGAAAAATATGCAGATGAGGTAGAGTGTAGCCCTACCTTTCTGCTGAAAGAGACCCCTGGAGAGGACCTTTCTCCTGAAAGGTAGGGCTCCACCCTGACAATGCCCTTAACAGAGGAAGGGCAGAATGGGTAGCTCAAGATTGAGAAAAGCCTTAGCGCTGGATAATCTGGAAGGATGCCAGCAATCGGGCTACTTGAGGATCAGGATTCCTGCTTTCACAGCCTCTTAAAGTTATGTGAACCTTGGGAACCAGCAGTTAGCGTAATGGCTATGGCGCTGGATTCCCACGTAGTCGACCGCGGTTTGTGTCCTGGACCCGGTGGCTTAAACTCACACCGGGCACGTATGCGTGCACACCCAAGATCCCAAGAGGAGAATGGAGGAGAAGGGATTGCGGCGTGCCCAGCCCCCCTGGGGGGTGATTGCTCGCTTTCTGTCTCGATGTCTCTCTCTGTCTGTCTGGCGAGCGCACGCGCCCTACAGTGAAAATCTCTCCAAAAAAAAAAAAAAAGTTATGTGAACCTGGGGAACCAGCAGTTAGCGTAATGGCTATGGCGCTGGATTCCCACGTAGTCGACCGCGGTTTGTGTCCTGGACCCGGTGGCTTAAACTCACACCGGGCACGTATGCGTGCACACCCAAGATCCCAAGAGGAGAATGGAGGAGAAGGGATTGCGGCGTGCCCAGCCCCCCTGGGGGGTGATTGCTCGCTTTCTGTCTCGATGTCTCTCTCTGTCTGTCTGGCGAGCGCACGCGCCCTACAGTGAAAATCTCTCCAAAAAAAAAAAAAAAGTTATGTGAACCTGGGGAACCAGCAGTTAGCGTAATGGCTATGGCGCTGGATTCCCACGTAGTCGACCGCGGTTTGTGTCCTGGACCCGGTGGCTTAAACTCACACCGGGCACGTATGCGTGCACACCCAAGATCCCAAGAGGAGAATGGAGGAGAAGGGATTGCGGCGTGCCCAGCCCCCCTGGGGGGTGATTGCTCGCTTTCTGTCTCGATGTCTCTCTCTGTCTGTCTGGCGAGCGCACGCGCCCTACAGTGAAAATCTCTCCAAAAAAAAAAAAAAAAGTTATGTTAACCTTCAGAAAAACTCTCAACACCAAGTTAGATCAAGGAATTGGGCTTTTACATGCCAGAGGTGCCTCCAAGCCTATAGAACAGGAGTTGGCAAACTTCTGTCAAGAACCAGACAGTAAATATTTTAGGCTTTGCAGGTCATAAGCTCTCCATTGCAACTTCTCAACTTTAGTTCTGTAGCATGAAAGCTACCATAGGCAGTGCATGAATAAATGAATATGAATATGTTGCAATAAAACTATTTACAAAAAACAGCAGCAGCCCAAATTTGGCTCATGGGTGGTAGTTGGCCAGCCTTGCTGTAGGACAATACATTGACTCAAATGCTTGCTCCAGGACTGAGATCTGACACCACGCTGCACCTTGATCTAGGAGCAAGCCCAAAGCTAGGCAGGCCCCAGCCAAAGCTGGACTGAGGGGACCAGCAGTTAGTGTAATGGCTATGTCACTGAAATCACATGTAGCCAACTGTGGTTTGAGTCCCGAACCCGGTGGCTTAAACTCACACCGGGCACGTATGCGTGCACACCCAAGATCCCAAGAGGAGAATGGAGGAGAAGGGATTGTGGCATGGCCATCCCCCCTGGGGTGGGGGGTGATTTCTCGCTTTCTGTCTCTCTGTCACTCTCTGTCTTTCTGGCAAGCGTACGCACCCTATAGCAAAAACCTCTAAAAAAAATTTTTTTTAAAAAGAAAAGAAAACTGAGCTGAGTGTCCAGTTTGTGCTGGTGACTCCAGATGGAGCCATGACTCCAAGTCAGACTGGGTCAGGACCCTGGTGCTAGAATGAGCCCTAAAACTTGGCCTCACGCTAAGTCTTGGCTCCTACCACAGCTGAATCCCAACTTTATAGTCAAAGCTCTGACTTAACATGGAGCCCTGGTCTGACCCCAAACTGAGCCTTCATCCCAACGCAGAGTAAGCCCTGACCCCAAACTGAGCTCCTGTTCTGATCTCTGACCCCAAACAGAGCCCTGATCCCAGTCTGAGCTCTGACCCCACACTGAACCCTGACCTTAGTCAGACCCCAACTAGATCTAACTCTAAGCCTTGACTTTGGATTTCCTCTCCAGATCTGAGTTTTTCAGATTGGGGCCCACAACCCTCCCCATTACCAACCCTGTCACTAGATAAAGACAACCTGTCTTCCTGAACCTTCCTTTCCCTTTGAGGTACTTGAGCAGAAATACTTGAGAAGCATGGTGAACCCCTAGACCCTTGTACCTCTGTCATGCCATGTGATTCTACATGCACAGTCCAAACCTCAGGAAACACCCAACTGGGGCCCTCTCTCTCCATCATGTTTGTTCACTTCTCTTAGGCACTTACAAAAAGTAAGAGGAAATTTGAGACCAGCAGGTGGCATAATGGTTACATTTCTGGACTCCCACATGGCCGACCACGGTTCGAGTCCCAGACCTAGCAGCTTGAAACTCACGCTGGGTACGTGTGCATGTGTGCCCAAAATCCTGAGATGAGAATGGAGGAGAAAGGATTGTGGCATGGCCATCCTCTCTGGGAATGATTTCTCACTTTCTGTCTTTCTGTGTCTTTCTGGCAAGTGGACACACCCTATAG